GTTAGATTGAAAACCTCAGTAACACCTCGGACCACAGTTGTCTGTGAGCAGGAACTACTGCCTCCTCCTCTCAGCCCATCCAGATCCGTGTGTGAAGCAGGCAGCAGTGCACAGGATGGAACCTCAGAGAGGCTTCCCCTTCCCGCCATGCTCCAGGCTGTAATATGCATGATTTGAATCTACGTGGGTCAGGGTGCTTCTGAGAAGCAGGACTTGTCAGAGGTGCATGTGCACTGAGAGAGAAACCATTGAGACCTCTCCATGTCTCTTGCTGTGCCTTTCAAATGAACTAATGAACGAATGAGTGAATACATGTCAATAAGCAGAGGGGAGCCTTGTGGCTGCCTGCTGCCTATGCACACTCCTCACCAACCAAGGGGATGAAACAGTGTCTTCCGTGGCACGTTCAGAGAAGCAGGCCATCTCCATCAGGGAGCCATCGCTTTCAGGGCTCCCCAGAACGTGGCTGCCCTTGAAGCCCCGGTGGACTTGGGCTCTGTAGGCCACACACCCTGAGGGACACAGATTCCCCAGCCGCATCAGCCCACAGTGCAAGGCACTGGCATCTAAAGACACACTACCTCTCTGGGCCAGGTACCAGGTGATGGGAACAGGACCAAAGCCAAAGCTTGTGTCTGGCTCACAGTCCTGGATTCTGCCCACGTCCTGGAGACATGAGCTAGTGCCTGCTCTGGGCACAGGACTGCAACCCTGGTCTCTTACAGATCAGCTTGGAACTGAAAGGCCCCCCACACTGGGGCACCCAAAACCCAGCAGTGCTGAGAGGAGTAGTGTATTTTTAGCACCTGTGGAAGCCAGAAGGAGCGGGGCCAGGGCCCCTGGGGGAATGAATCACCATCACAGGAGGCCTGGTAAACTGATCTCGGCCAAGGAGCGCACAAGGCCACCAGCCAACTAGACCAGCGACTAGCGGTCAGCAAATGCTGCAGGCCCATTCAAGGGCCTGGGCCACGCCCAGGGCTTCCTGTGGTCGTCAACAGGAAGCACGCAGAGGTGCGTGCCCAGGGCATTCCCTCGTCCTCCCCAGCTGGAAGCCTCAGCTTGCCTAGGCCATGGTCCAGAGGCCAGTTTTTCGCAAGAGCTGCCTGGTGTGGCTGCTGGAGGCTGGGGAGGGACTCCAGCCTCAGCAGCCCTGTGGTTGGAAAAAGGAGGAAGGAATCTTAACAGGACAGTGGTTCTCAAACTGAACATGCGTGGAACCTCAGAGGAAGGCAGGGCCCATCTCAGCATGTGTTGAACCTCAGGGGAAAGGCAGGGCCCATCCCAGCAGCAGCTGATTCAGCTGGACACGTGGGCCTAGGAATCTGTGCCTGTGGCCCCAGACCATCCCACTCCAGTGCACCCTCTGGAGGATGCCCTGAGGTTGGTGCTAACACAAGCCAGCAGTAAAGTTGCCTTCTGCCCAGCCCCTATTCCACTTTCTCAGCACAACAGCCAGAGCTGTCCTTTGGAGAACCTGTGTCCCACGGTGGCTTCCCCCACCTGGTTGATTGGTTGTCACCCTGAGCATTTTGCTTCTCTAACTTGGCCCTGCCCCCACCCATACCAAACTTCACTGAGTTGTAACTCTCCATCCACAGTGCTGATCGTGGAAGGGCCCAGTTGACCACGGAATGTCTAGCTGGGGACAGACCTATAGATATCTGGTCCCCTCTTACCTGGCAGTACCAAGTCACAGCAGTGGACACTGAGTTCATCCGCAAGGAGGGGAGTTCTGAGTTGTTCCACTCTGAGGTGATGGGATCCAGGGCCCGGCCTCAGCCAACGTGTGCTGGTGACAGTGTCCATGGATCTGCCCCGTCATCCTCTGCCCCTTGCTTTTCTGGCCTCTGGCTTTTCTGGCCTCCGGCCCCTTTGCTGAGGACTGGCTGAAGCCCCAGGGCTCGCTGCCTCACCTGCCTGCTCACACAGCTGTATCTGAGCACAAAGGCCTGTTCTGTTGCAGAGTAGAGAGAGCATGGTTTGAGCTGCAGACCCTGGGGTCCCTACTGGACCTCAGTAAGGCCCCTGTCTGCGGCCACGGTGGCAGCAGCTGGCCATGCAGGCTCATGCTGCCCACGTGCTATTCTCTTTTCTACCCCATGCACCCTCAGACCCTGCTCACCAGCTCCATGCATGTCGCCACCCCAGAACAAACCTTCTGCTGTGCCAATTTCTTTGCCACCCCTTCCAACAAGAAGCGCCACCTGGGTCCTGACCCCAGAGGAGCCTCTGGGATGGCCGCAAGGAATGCAGTGCAGCAAAGTGACAATCCCTGACTGCCTGGGCTGGGGCAGGAAAACTCACATGGTTTTTGCTGATGATGCTGGGACTTCTGGGAGTCCCTGGTTACATGATGGGAAGTCCAGCAAAGCTCTGGGGTAGAGATGCAGAGAGAAGGCAAGGAACAGGGGTCCAGGCCAGGCAGGAGGGCCTAGCTGCCAGTGCCTTCCCGTCCCAGCACTGAGCCTCCCTGTGGGGTGGGGAGGTGGTGGCCGGGGCTGTGGATCTCACCACTGGCAAGGTGGTGTGCCGAGGGAGGGTTCTTATCCCACCATTCTTTGGAAAGGAAGCCAGGGTCTGGGGGAAGAGGCTAGGGTCCAGTGGGGCACAGTTCATCGGCTCAGAGGCAAATTCTCATCCATTGTCTAGGGTGATGGACCAGGGTGGGCTCCTGCCTTCACCTTCCCAGAGCCCATTGGCAGGGGTCACCAGGGATGGTGCCACCCTGGGCTGGACTTGGCTGCTGGTGGCTGTGCGCGACTTTTGCCTGGGCTGTGCCAGTCAGAGGCTCTGGACGCTGCTTTCCTGTCTGGGAATCGAGTTACCCCAGCTGACACAATTTCAAGCAGCTTCGTTTGAGGTCATGGGGACCTGGTGCCTGATGGAGGGCCTGAATGGGGAGGGTGAAACACAGTGGTTGGAGGCACATGGAACCAGCCTGGAAATGCCCTGGATCCAGCACCATGCAGAGTGGGTCCGGGTCCTTTCTAAATCCTATTGAGGCCGAACATGCAAGGGGCTCTTCATCATATGGACAGAAAAGTCCATAAAGGAAATAAAACGGAGAGAGCAGAGAAGGCAGGAGCAACAAGGAGCATCACAGCCACCACACGGGGGTTGGGAGCGAGAGGAAGCTGATGGCCCGGCAGGTGAGTCATCTCGTGGTTCAAGAACTGAACAGTCCTGAAAACAAACAGAGCAATGTGCAGACAGTGAAGGATGGGAGACACAGAGAAACTTTGAACTTCATAAAATGACAAAGCCAGAAGCAAGGAATTGTCACACACACACACACACACACACACACACACACACACACACACAGAGCGCTCAGTAACGTTAGGAGCCAGAACACAGCCCACACGTTACTCAATCAGCAAATGCCTTCTGCTGATTTACCAAGGCGCCAGGGCTGGTGAGTAACCAAGGCCCAAGACCAAAGGGCACAACTCTGCCACCCCAGGCGGTTCACCAGGCCCCAAGCACATTTAGAGGGCGAGTCCCGTCCTCAATGGAAACTGGCAGAGCAGGGCTCCTGCCCCTTCTCCACAGGAAATGTGTACACCCGTTCAACTCTTATTAGGGACAATTCCCCCTGCTCCACCCACCAGGCACCCTCCGAATTCTGTCCTCACAGAGGGCAGCTCTACTGCACAGGACACGAATGGTCTGGAAGGTCCCACTGCCTCAGCTTTCCTGCTGGTGAAGGGAGGGCGGAGCCTGGTCAGCCCTTAGGCATCTCCAGGTCTGGGATCTGTCCCAACCACCTCACCCCAGAGGAGGAGCCTGGGACGAAACGCAGCACTCAGAGGCAGGAAGAGCCGTCCTGGACCAGCTCACGGGCCACGTGTGACTGCACGAACCAGAGGTCTGGAGATGCGGCAGAGCAAAGGACCCCAGCCCCAAGCAAGCTTGCTGCAGAGTGCTGCTCAACAAATTCTATCAATCCACTTCTAAACAGTTAAACCAACCTACCCTCTAAAACCTTCCGGCCTTGGCAGACACACAGCTCAAGGTCTCCAGCTGCCCACCCCTCTCTTCCTCTCCTGAGGCACCTAGCAGTAGCTGCAGCCCCTGCAGGTTTGGGACCAGCCAGCTGAGGAAACCTTGAGAGCCCAGAGGTCCACAGGGTGGCAGGTCTTAGAGCCTTGGAAGTGTTGGCAGTTTTGGGTCACCTGTTTGGACACCTTGCAGAACCTCCAACTTGCAAGAAACCAGGTGGAAGGCACACTGCTCAGCCAGCCACCCACAGCTAGGGACTCCCATTCTACCTCCATCTCTCCATGGATGCAAACCCTGAAGGAAGATGAAGAAGTTCAGGGGGGAAGACCAGAGACAGGGAGACTGCAGCGAATATCCACATTCCTCAGCAGTAGACCTTGCGTCCAGGCTCTGCCTAGGTGACACTGCCTCCTGGGAGGACCTGGGGCGGGGCCCGCGCGGCAGCCTGCAGGAGGGGCTGGGCTGGCTTCTCAGAGCTAGACCTACAGCCTGTGGCCGCAACCCTAGCTGCTCCCTCTGGCTTTCCTGAGAAATGAGGGCAGGGTGGGGGAGCTCAGAACAGTGCAGCTCTTCAGTGAGCTCATCAGACAACGGAAGGAGGTTTCCCACAAGTTCTGTGCTGCCACTTTCTCTCCGGCTCTTCTGGAACTTTCAAGAATTCAGGAAGCTCCATGGCCAACCTGGAGAGCACCTGACAGGAGCATCCCCTGACAACTTCCAGCTTCCCAGCACCCCAGAGATGAGGACTGTAGCTTCAGGATGCCCTGCCCCCACGGCACCCCTTCCCCTGAGAGCTTCCCCCATTCCTGGAAGTTTCCTGAGGCCCAGGAATCCACGCGTCCAGCACCACGGCCAGCCTTGGGACGTGGGGGACACTCCCTGAAGGCCTAGTTTGCATCCGCACAGCAGTGTGGATGATACCTGGAAACGGTGAGGTCACCCCACGTAGACAGAAGGGGACCAAGGACCTAGCATTTAAGCATGCATGCAAGATGTCAAATTATATATAACATTTAATCGGTTACTATGATATCCAAAATCATTAAAGTAAAAAAAAAAAAAAAAGCTGCTGAGTAGTACATAATGTTTTCAGGGTTCTGAGGAGTTGCAGCTGGCCCAGACAGCCCCTCACTGGCCACGCTCCTGGTGCCGCTTGCCCTTGCCCTTCTTCTTGTCCTCCAGCTGCGGCTTCAGGGCACACACGCAGGCTGACACACCAGCGATGGCCTTGGGCAGGTCGGTGCCCTTGCTCCATTTGTTGGCCTCACGGTCGTACACCTGCACCGTCTTGGAGAAGGCTGTGTTCTCCCAGCTGTAGCCACCCAGCACATAGATGCGGCCCTGCCACACGGCCACGCCCGACTCGCTGTTGGCGTGCAGCAGCGGGGCCACGCGTGTCCACTGGTTGCACTGCGGGCTGTAGGCCTCCACGGCTAGCACATCGAAGCGCTCCATGGACTCGATGTTGTCGTCGCTGCCCCCGATGGAGTAGATGCTGTCGCCCAAGCTGCACATGCTGTGCCAGCCGCGAGCCGTGATCATGGGCCGCCGCTCCTCCCACACGTCCGTGCGGTGGTCGTAGCACAGCAGGTTCTTGCGGTAAGGCCCGATCTGGTAGTCGTGGCCTCCGGAGATGTACACGCAGTGTTTGTAGACGGTGCCTGCGTGGCCGTAGGTGAACCTGCGGGGAGAGACCGGGAGGGAGCTCAGCAGTGTGCGGGGCCTCGGGCTTCTCTGGAGCACAGTTCACCCAGAGAGGAGAGGGGGCAGGTTCCACGGCGCTACACAGGCAGCAGAGTCGGCAGCAGAGGGCTCGGAGTTCCACCCCACCTGCTCCCCCACTGGGAGAGAAGGGCAGGGACAGAGCTGTGCCACGATTTACCACAGCTGAAAATGAGCAACAGGGGCTGGTGCAATGGCACAGCAGGCTAATCCTCAGCCCTGTGCTGCCAGCATCCCATACGGGGGCAGCAGCACTGGCAGCCAAGGCCGCGAGGGAACAGGTGTGGACAGGGAGAGTGAGGGCTGCTTTTAGGTCATCATGACGTCACCAGGCCTGTGACACGGGTCATCATGATGTCATAAGGTTTGTAACACAGCATGAGCCTTAAAGTGAATTATGTGGGCTGCAGGCACTAACTGTCCACATCGGCTCAGCAGCTCAAACACGTCGGCTGCTGCGCTGTGACGCACCAGAACTGCTTCCCAGGGGAGAGGGTATCTGTGACCCACTGGCCTTCCCGTTCTGCTTTCTACAGACCTACCACTCACTGCTCTAGACATGCCACCCCACATTTATACAAGGGTTAAAAACCAGCCAGAGACCAGGGCCACAAGAATACCGGACAGGGCAGACCTGGCTGGGGGTGGGGTGGGGAGAAGGGGTTACCTATGGATGACAAGACACAGTTCCCAGATGGACAGAAGCGTCCGTGTGGCGTCCTGGCTCCCGGCTTTGCAAACATGTCAGTCACTATCAGGGGAGGCAGATGCCATTGGAAAATGGGCTAATGAAGCCAAGACCAGCCTATGACGAATGCAAAGGGCACCTCCCTCCCCACATAGGGTGAGGGTGGCTCTGTAGAGGGTCTTCACCAGGCACTGCACCCCCAATTCCAGAGCAATCAGGAGCCATTAGGGAGTCACCTGGTCAGCCTCCGGGCACCATGACCTTGGCCTTTGGAATCTGCACACGCAAGTGGTTGTTAGTGGTCCCTGAAGTGGAGGGCCAGGAGCCAGGCACAAAGGAGGCCTGAGCATGGGCACCTGCCCACCTGGCCTTCCAACTCTGTGTTCCCAGGTGTGCCCCACAGCACAACGACTCAGAGAGGAGTCTCTGCTTATCGCATGGTGACACACTCAACAGGTGACACCTGGAGGCGGGAAGACAGCATAGAGTGGCCAGCTTCCTCCTGGGCTGGCACCCTGGCAGGACCTCATGAGTAGCTGTCATGCCGGGTGACACCATCAGCCCCGTCTACAGAATCCCCCAGAATCCCTCCCACCTGGGGTCAGAGACCTTTTGGCCAATCCTTTGCTGTCAGAACTCAGCACTGGCTCTATGGGACTCGGGGTCACAGGCCAGACACAGCATCTATTTGGAGTCACCCTCCACCCCTCAAGGGCTACCCCCGGCACTTCACAAGCCAGGACACTCAGAGCGAGCAGAGTGGAGCGTGTGCCCCGAGAGCCTGCCCTGCCGTCCCCAGTCACCTTGGCAAGCCGGCCACGTAGGACCAGGAGTCAGTCCTGGGGCTGTACATCTCCACCGATGAGAGTGCGCCATTCTCATTCCGGCCGCCCACGGCCACCAGCTTGTCTTCGATGGAGGCCAGGTAGAAATCCACACGCCGCTGGTTCATGGAGGCCACCTGCACAGGTGAGACACTTGTACTCCTCTTTCCGGAACCCCAGACAGCAGCAGCACCCAGCCCTGGTCCAGTGTGGTGGCACAGTTGGTTAAACCGACACCCTTGAAGCTGGCACCCCATACAGTGCCCTTCCCAATCCAGCTCCCTGCTGAGGCACCTTCAAAAGCAGCAGCAGATGGACCGAGCGCTTGAGCCCCTGTACCCACGTGGGAGACCCAGATGGCATTCTGACTCTGGCTTTACCATGGATCACCCAGCTATTACTATGGCTGTCTAGGGAGTGAGCCAGTGACTGGAGCATCTCTCACTCTTTCTGTATTTCTAATTCTGTCTTTCAAATAAATAAACTATCTTTTAAAAAATACAATAGAAAACAAAACTTTTCTATCCTTATAACTCTTGGACGTAGAGGCTTTTAAAAATCTAGCACTAGGATGGGCGCACTGGCTCAATTGGTTAATCTTTCACTTGTAAGTGACAGAATCCCATATGGACACTGGTTTGTGTCCTAGCTGCTCCACTTCCCATCCAGTTCCCTGCTGGCTGGCCTGGGAAAGCAGTTGAGGACGACCCTGGGGCCCTGCACCTGCATGGGTAACCAAGAAGCGCCTGGCTTTAGATCTATTCAGCTCCAGCCAGTGCAGCCATGGGGAGTAAGCCAGCAGATGGAAGATGTCTCTTTCTCTCTGCAAATCCGCCTTTCTAATTAAAACACAAAAAAACTCTCCCTCCATGTTACCCAGAATGCCGAGACCAGGAAGGCAAGACGGCATCCAAAAGTTGGGAAAAGAAGGTGAAACCCAAAGAAAAAGGGGCACTTCCAACAGGCTCCCCTGAGAGTGCTGAGCCCCAAAACAGCAGAGATCCAGAGATTCCCACGTGGTCAGAATCCTGCAGGACACGTGGTTGAGCAGTTTTTAAAAATACAAATGGATCCTTTCTCTCTTTTCCTTTCTCAGCCACCCAGGTGCACCTGGACAGGAAGCACAGAGTAGAGCCCAGGCCTTGCTTTTCTTTTAAGTAATTCTAGCAGACTGTGGTACAGTGAAGGGGTAAAGTCACAGCCTCTGGCAGCAGTACCCCACGTGGGCACAGGTTCACCACCCATCCAGCTCCCTGCTGACGACCTGGGAAAGCAGCAGAGGACAGCCCGAGTACGTGGGCCCCTGCACCTACATGGGAAATGCTGAAGAAGTTTGTGGCTCCGGCTTTGGGCTGGCCCAGCATTGGCTGTTCTAGCCACCCGGGGAGTGAAAGAGCAAATAAAGATCTCTTTCTGTTTCAGAAAAAAAAGGTCCCACCAAGCACCGAGCCGGTCACGGGCAGAAAACAGGGACCACGGCTGCCGTCAAGCCTGAGGGCGGGCCCCTGAGCTGGTCTCTCTGCTCAGGGTCAGGATTTAGCCGTGGGAGGGTGGTGCCAGATTTTGGGGAGCTAAGAAAAGCACCACTGACAATGTGGAAGTGTGAGCAGAAATGTGGAAGTGTGAGCAGAAAGATAGAGTGGGCGCTGGGCTGCAGGGGGGTGCTGGAGGGTAGGGCAGCCTCTCTGGGCCAGGTGCTCACCCATCGGCAGGAGTCCACACCCGATGCCAGAAGGCCGGTGTCCTCTCACACACCTCCAGAGGGAGGACGTGGGATCTGCAGTGGGTGAGGAGCCCCTCTGAACTCCCCCAGCCAGCATGGAGCCGAGCCGGGCGGGGGCACCTCAGGCCTGACATCCAGGTGCACCTTTGTCCTAGGACCTGCTGGCCACAGGGACAGCTGTGGACCCTGTGTTCTCCCAAAATGGAGACCTGGGAACACCACGGGCTCATCTCTAGGATGGCACGAGTCTCATGTGGCCACTTGCACCTGCATGAAAAGGAGCAACAAACTCAATTTTTCAGCTGCCTGGCTGCCGGGCTGCACGGTGCAAACTTGGGCAGGGTTGGGAGTTCCACCAGGGAGCCGGTGGGGTTGGGGGACAGAATGGGAAGGACATGACCCATCACTTTATCTTCACACCTTGAGCAGAAGCAGGACAGTGGCCAAGCCCCGGGAGCAGGGAGGCGCGTCAAGGCTAGGGCAGGCGCTTGGTCAGAACCCTCCAGAGAAAAGAAACAACCATGTGGCTTCAATCTCACCTTGATCCACTGTTTACAGCGGGGGTCATACCTATAAAGAAGGTTGGAGGCCGCATCCCCTCCGTTGTCCCTGGAGAAGCTGCCGCCCGCGATGAAGATGAAGCCGCCCAGCACGGCGACGCAGTGGTGGCTCCGGCGGGCCGGCAGCGGCGTCTCCTTGACCCACTGTTGGCTGCAGGCGTCCAGGTAGCAGGTGTCGTCGCTGAGCTCCAGACACCGCTCAGAGACCTCACCGCCCACGAACAGCAGCCGCTCCTCGTGGGTGCGCAGAGCCGTGCGCTTGCTCTGCAGCACGGGCTGGGCGGCCAGGCTGTTGTGGTAGCGCACCGCCTCCTCGATGAAGGCCTCGCAGTCCGTCTCCCTGGGCAGCAGCGCGCACACGGCCGGCTTGACGCGGTGCAGCAGGTCATTCTTGGGGATGAGTGGGAAGCGGATGTTCTCCAGCACCTGGTAGGCATGGGCCTCGCGCTCAGGCTGCTGCGTGAGCCACTGCAGCGCCGCCTGCAGCAGGTCGTGCTCACACTCGCGCTGCACCTGGCTGCTACCCAGGTACTTGCACAGCTTCTGCAGGGAGACGTTCTGCAGGAAGTCGGGCGTGAAGGAGAGCGTGCCGAAGTGGCTCAGGATGAAGCCGTCGATGAAGGCGTCCAGCCGCTTGAGGCTGTAGATGGAGGCCAGCTCCTGCAGGTACAGGTAGTTGTCCTCGCTCACCTCCTGCTCCAGGTAGTCACAGCAGAAGTCCACCGCCGTCCAGATCTGCAGCAGGTGCGCCGTCTCCAGGATGTAGTCGATGTTGCCGCCATCCAGTGCCAGCTCCCCGCCATACAGGAAGTCCACCACAGCCTTGAGGCCAATGTAGGAGGCGCCAACCAGCTCCACCTCCTTCTGGAAGGCCTCCCGCATGCCGATGGTGAACATGGAGTTGAAGTAGTCGCTGCACACAGCCAGCAGGTTGCGGTGGGCAGGCACGCGCTGCTCGTCTGCCACCAGGACCACATCGCAGAAGAGCCCACGGAGCCGCTGCTCGTTGAGCCTCTGCAGCACCGTGGTGGAGTGCTCCGCCCAGCGGTAAACCTACGGCAGAGGGCACGCGTGAGGGACGGGAGCCATGCCACCCGACCTCCCCTCGGGGGCTCAGACAGGGAGCAGACAGAACAGGCACACAAGACCCGACGGCGCTGTGGGAGAGGGTACATGTGTCACGTGTGCAGTCACATGTTCTGGGACCACGCTTCAGTGAGCCACTCCTCTGTGGCTTATAAAGTGGTAAGCACCCACGTGGTGGCAGGGACGTGAGGCACAAACTTCACACACTCAGGCGGATCCTGGCCCAGGACACAGCTTCATCACTTATCTCCAGGAACACGTGAAAACATTTGTGGAAAAGGAACTAAAAGGTTAGGGTTCATTTTGGTGCAACCCACTGCGAAAGGCACATGCAAAGCACAAGGACACGGCCTCCCCAGGGTCTCCCTGCGTGGCGCACTGCCGGGGCATGACACTGCATCGGCAATGAACGCGTTTCCCCGATAAAGAGAGCGGAGGTCTCCGCAGACTAAGAAACTCACCAACAGAGACAGAGAGGCAAGGCCGTCCTTCAACCCTAGCTCTGATTATAGGTTATAATGCAATGCAATAATGCCACATGAATGCCCTAAATAAACTCAACCCAGCAGGCATTGACAGTGTGCAAGTTGCCCCCCGTGTGCCTCTGAGCTGGAGGGATGCTCTCAGACCTGGACGAGGGGCTCTGCAGCCCGGGAGGGCTGACCAGCACTACTTTGGGAACGTTGCATGCTGCTATGCCTCAAGAAAGCACGAAACCTCAGCAGAATATTCCAGACAAAGCACTCCGAGCACCAAGCAGATGGCTGGTCTGTCTGAGGGCCAGAACTGGCTGGGCATCAGGCCTGCAAAGGGGAACCAGCATATGAAGGTTCCCTGGGGCATTCACCCCCACCCAGTCCCTGGGAGTGGCTGTGTGCCTCCGTGTATGTCACTATGCGTCTTTCCCTCCGCATGGTTCTGCCTCGCCCAGCCCAGCTGGTTCCCCAGGACACCAGACAGGAGCTGCCTGCAGTTTTCCTGGCTGGAGGGCCAGCCTTCGTGGCTCGGTCCTCCTAGGGACACGCCCATTTCTTGTGCCACTAACAGAGCTGGGCTGGCTGTTCTGGCTTCTAGGCAAATAGGGATGAGCTAGGCTCCTGTGAACACTGGTCAGGGACCCCCCTTGGGCGTGCCCTGGAGACAGGAACTATGAAGTCCTATAGCAGCAGGTGAGTGGCTAAGGCACAGGAAGGCATGGCGGGGCCCTGGCTGGCCACTACCTTTCATGAGCAACAGGGCGCCAGGATGCAGACCCGGAGTCCAGCCTCCCTCCACTTCCCCCTGATGGCATCCACTCATTGCTTCATTTTCTATTTTAAGAGCCTTCATCAAGCACAGCACCAAGTGGGGAAGGAAACACATGTGGCTGAGGCGGAGCGGAGCGGCCCCGCGAGGGGTGTGACACATTTACAATTCAGCACCAGAAAAGACGTGTGCATTCAAGGTCCACACAGCACCTGGCAGCCACACAGCAGGCAGACTCGGCCACTGCCGCACTGCACTGCCATGGAGCTAAAGCTTGACACATATGTCTCCATGCTGGTAACAGGGTCAAGTTCCAACACAGGAGAAGCTGCGGTAGGAAGAGGCCGTGGGGAAGGGTCTCTTTCTCTCATAGGTGACCAATTTGCATCAGAAGGGGTATACTTCCGGTAACGTGGGAGTAGATCAGATGTCAAAAACATAACCAACTCAGGGAAAGAGAGCCTCCCTCCTAAGACCCAGGCAGGACTCAGAGCTTGGTGCCACAGGACACGGGTCCTCGGGTGCAGGAAGCCAGCAGGTGCATAGCATTCTGAGAACCAGCTGGGCGGGGCAGGAGTCTTTGGGGAAAGAAGTGATTGGGGACATGAGAGCTGGCCTCTCTGGAAGACCACAGGGGCCCCTGCAGGATCCCAAGCGGGGTTCTTCCCTCTTGCTATCACCACCCCGAGAAGCCTTCTTTTCTTTCCTAATAGTTCCCCCCCGCCATCAAATGTTAGCACCACTGAAACACAGATGTCAGCTTGTGCACCTGCCAGGGGAGAGGGATGAAAAACCCACAAAGGAAACACACACAAGGAGCAAACTCCAGATGTTTTCGGCAACAAAACAGCAACTTGCCTTTTCCATGAAATCCCCACCGTGCAGAGCTGTGCTTTATCCATAGAAAGCCCACCGTTCCTCCACATGCCCGAGAAACCACGTTTACCAGCAGGTGCACAGGGCCAGTGATGGCAGCAAAATTTCCACTTTCAGCCAGGGGCTGGCCACCACTTCTCCTAGCCTGCAGTAGCCACAGCTGGGGACAGTGGCTGTACCATGTCCACCTGCTTGGGGACCCAGGTAGGATACCTTCCTGGCCCACGCACAGAAGTTGGCTGTGCAGGGGTGTGGCGGCAAGGCACAGTATTTCTAATCAGATATCTCCCTTCCAGTCCCTCTCAGGGTGACCATAGAGCCAGTACCATGCAGTTGGCAGTGTGGCCCTGCACATTTACCACCCCACCCCTGCTGGTTCTTGGGGTCCCAACCAGGCCCTTTAGCATACAGGGGTACACAAGGCACAGCCTCTCCGGGAGGTTGGAGATGGCACCCTTCCGAGGAGGGGATGGAATCCCTCCGGCACTCATCTGCTCCCCACTCCTACAGCCAAGACACAGAACTCGTGAATCAAGCAGTGACAGTGACACAGTCACGCTCTGGGGCGTCACACTGAAAACTGACAGCTCAGGCTGTGGGGGCCCTGTGCCTTCTCTGCCTCCCGACCCCTTGTAAAGGATTCGAACCATGGCCGGCTGGTCGTGGGTAAAGACCACCCCCTCGAGGTACCCAGGGGGCCCGTCACACACCTTTGAGGATTCGCTGATCTTGTATGGCCGGGACACGCGCGTCTGCCTGCTGGCCTCCATAGTACAGGAGCTCACAGCCCTGCAACGAGAACAGGGCACTGAGCCACAAACACCCACCTGTTGCTGAGTCTACTGAGGTCTCCAGGCTAGGTCAGGGTGACAGTCCTAACAGAGAGGCAGGGCCCAGACTAACGCCCTGAACTAAGACAGAAGGGCCCGGCACCAGGCAAGGCTGGTGCCACAGGCCCATTTCACAGATGAGGACACTGTGGTTGTGAAGCCAGTCAACGGCTCAGAATCAGACCCGGGTCTGTCCAGCTTTACATCCTCCGCCTGTGACAGATGGCTGAGCCAGGCCCAGGCTTGGAGAGGGGAGAGCCCCAGGCTCTCAGAGCAGCGTGATGTGAAGGAAGCAGGGTCGTGATCACCCAAAGGAGCATGGCGCACTGTAGACACACCGTCCTCGCTCTACAACCGTCAGCAAGGAAGCAGGAAGCCGAGCCGGGAGTACAGACTGTACCGGCCCCCGGTCATCCTGACTGGCCTCAGGCTGCTGGGAGACCCAGAGAACGGACGACAGCACCGTGTGGCACCAACGAAATGCCAGAGATAGGCAGGTGAGCTAACTGGGCCCACGCTGCGGGCAGCTGCAGGGTGACAAACAGGCTGACACTTGGCCTGGCGTGAGACACTCAGACAAGCTGGATGTGTCAGCCTCAAGCTTCAGCCATGGCGGGAGGCTCTAGGGACCCCTGTCTCTGGTCAAATTTACACTATGGCTCAGGTTCCCTCAGCATTTAAACGCAGAGGAAGGCTCTGCAGGAGACAGGCTCAGCAGGAACCACGGGAAACAGGGGTGAGGGACGCCCAGGGGAGGCCCCAGGCTGCAGCAGGGGCGCCGAGGGTGCTCGGCCACTGTCTGCTTACCTGCATGGCTCTAACACCAGCAGGCACTTGGGGTGAGGGAGAGGCGGGCAGGATCCCATCCCATCCAAGGGGCGCAACTGTGCGCCCTTCACAAGCCATGCCCCACCGGCTTCCTGACTGCACCCCCAGGCTGCTGCAGGTCCAGGGACAAGACAGGCCCACTTCCCTGGCCTCAGAGACACCGGCATGCGGGGGCGGGGGGATGTGAGGGTCGGCAGAAGGTCACAGCGTCCAAAGTGGCAGGTGTTCCTCGCTATCCCGTTCCGCAGCACACCCGGGGCAAGCTGGCCAGGGCTGTTTTGCCCTCAAATGCTAAAAGCTCTTTCTAGGCCAAGACATCTCTAGAGAGTTCCGGGGGTGGGGAGAAGTGGAGGGCGAGGGGGCCCCTTTTGTTCCCAGACCAGCAGTGTGGGGTGTTTGTACCCGCCCCCGTGTGGACTGGATGCAGGCTACTCCAGCCCCGCACGCAGCGACCACTGATCCCAGTTGCGCAGGCGGTCCTGCAGGAAACACGGGACAGGAGTCCACGTTCCGGGTTCCCCGGGAGCCTCGTGTCCCGGCTCCTTCCTGGCTGCTACCCAGACCCCGGGCATCTGCGCGGGAGGAACCCGCAAGGCTGCCTGGCAGCACTCACCCGTCCCGGGGCTCGCTGGTGGGGGTCTCCGGAGACACGGCTGCGGCTGCTGCCACCCGGAACCCCCTTGCAGAAACAACTGCACAACCGCCACCCGGCAGGCTCGAGCCGGCTGCCAGGAGGGGAAGGGAGGCGGAGCTGGGGCGCGCCAGGGGCCGGAGCCCGCGGTGGGACGCGGAGCCTCCACCTGCGCCCTCGCGGGGGGCACGGGCAGCGGGGACGCCCTCACCGGCCACGGATGTCTCACCTGCGAGGGCGGGGGCGGCCTGGCCAGCTCCGTGCGTCCAGTCCGCCCGCCCCGCGCGCGCGCCTTCGCACAAAGGGACGCCCGGAGGGGACGGGGGCGCGGCCCGCAGCCGCTGAGGAATCCCCGACCCCTGCCCGGCCCCCGCCCCGGCCCCCGGGAGAGCGCGCGCGGGGGCCCCGGGTCGGGAGGGGTGGGCGTGCGCGCGGAGGCCCACCTGCAAGGAAGCGCTACGGACGCGGTGCGGGCAGTCCCGGCGACGAGGCCGGGCCGGGGGCGCGGCGGGGCCCGGGCGCCGGAGCCCCTGGGCCGGGCCGGAGCGCAGCCATGGCTCCGCCAGGAAGTGCGAGGCCGAGGGCGGAGGCGGCGCGCGCGGCCAATGGCGGCGGCCGCGAGGAGGTGGGCTCAGGCGGCGCGAGGCGGGGCCTGCGCCCGGGGCGGGCGGCGCGGGCTGGGCGCGCACCCTCGGCCGCTGCGGGAGACCCCCGGCCGCTGCGGGAGACCCCCGGCACGGCTTCGCGAGAGCCGCTGCGGTCCCGCCAGGCGTCCCCGGGTCCCTTGGGTTGGGGCACGGTGTGCAGGGGACGGACGAGGACCCGGTCCTTGCGGAGCAGAGTCGAGAGCTGGCCGGGGTGGGGTGAGGGACATCGCGGCGACCGCGCTGCGGTGGGGAGCCCGGTCCGCACCCCCCGGCCCACTTGGTGCCTCACTGCGCAGTGTTTTACTCGGCTTTCTCATCAGTTTGGCTCTCCCGGGGGATAGGGGTGGGGGTTAAATTTTGTTTTTGTGCCTGTCCGCGCCCCCCGCCCCCGGGACAGGCCGGAGACTTGTCAGTTCTGAGCCTGATCCGAGCAGCAGACGCAGGAAGACGCGGGCAGAGTGCGTGTCTGTGCGTGGAATGCACAGGCCAGTCCGCAGAGGCTGGTCTCTGGGGCTGCGGAGGCTGTTGCGGGCCCAGGTTGCTCCATAGGGCCGTGGGAGGGGGTGGGGAGTTCTGAGGACAGCTCAACCTCAACTCCCCTGCCTCATACAAAGAATTTTTTAAATGTTGATTTTTCACCTGCTTCAGAGGTGCCGGCAGCAGCCAAGGTTGGGCTAGGCGAAAGCCAGGAGCCGGGGGAGCTCCATCCGGTTCACATCGCTGTCCCAAGGACAGCTGTGGGGACAGACGCAGCCATGCTGCCTTCCCCAGCTGCCTGTGTGCACGTGAGGTCAACAGGCACCTGCTCTTTCCCCCATTGCAAATATCCTGCACTTTTCTCATGCTGGCAGGTTCTCTCCGATGGACGGCTGCCTGGGATCCCCCGATGCCGGTTGTGCACTTGACTTCGTGATAGGTGCTCAGCTGTTGTTCCAGGATTGATAACTCCAAGCAGCCAGAAAAAAAGTTGCTTCCTCTCCCCTGTGGCGCTGCTGTCCCCCCACCACGGAGCTCTTTGCTGCTGTCGCATGACAGGTTCCTCCTGGGCCCTAGGCAGCAATGTGCACAGGCCCAAGCCCACGCCTTCCTGCACTTTTGCATAGGCCTTCCCGCGCCGAGTGTCTTTGCAGGGGTGAGGACGCTCTGGGGAGGCAGAGGGGGCAGAGGGGGCCGGGTTGGAGCTGAGTTCACTGCAGTGCTCACCACCCTGTGTGCCTTTATGCTCACTGTATAAATCCACGGATAGACTTTGAGGATTTGGAGATGACAGTCCCAGGCTGTGGAGCCCCAAGTGTGAGCCCTTCTAAACGCGGGCACCTGTGTGAATGACTGGGCGCTGATGGCTTCCCTGATGGAGAAGTCGGAGCTGTCACAAAGGAGAAGCACCCCGAGCGTGTGTTACTCTGTGCTCACTGCCGTGTGCAGCAGCAAGGGCAGGGCAGGCTGTGTGGGACAGCGGGTGGGGCTGCCCCTCAGGCGTCCACCTCCCACCACCCAGTGACGGTTCGAGTCCTGGCTATTCTGTGCCCCTGAGTAGCAGTGGAGGGGAGTCACCTGCTTAGGGGCCTTGGATGGATCCTGGCTCCTGGCTGGCTTCAGCCTGGCCCAGCCCAGGACAAATCTCCCCTTCTAACAGCCACAATGGCTAGGGCCAGACCAGCTGAAACCATGATCCTGAAATGCCATGCCGATACAAGTGGCTGGCTGGCACCGAAGCACGTGAACCATCTTCTGCCTTCTCAGCGAGCTGGATCAGAAGTGAGATAGCCAGGACTCAAGTAAGTACTCCAATATAAACAGCCTGGGCCAGGCCAGGCTATCTGTGCCCAGTAAGCAGCACGCAGGGTGGCTTGTCACAAGGGCTGTGAGCTGCTCTTTCTTTCAGAGCCCCAGCTACCTGGTAGGCCCAGAGGAAGCTGGGCCTGTTGGGAATGGGGCCGGTGGGACACTTCCAGGCCTAAGCTCCTGCAGGACCGGCAGGAGGAGAAGGCGGGGCCAACCCCTGAAGGCCTGCTCTTCTTGGCAAAGGTTTGTCCTTGGCCCAGCTTCTCTCCCAGGGGAGGTAGCCTCTGGGCTAACCCAGATCACACCCACATGTGGAGTTCCCTGTGTTTGTAACGGTTAGATCAGTGGGGCAGGGGATCAGCAGGTGGTAAGCCCGCCAGGATCAGAGCAGCCATTGGACAGAGCTGTGCCAACAGCAGGTGCCTGGGCCTATAGGAGGGACGCCTTACTTAGCAACCAGCTCCGCTTCCTTCTCCTTCCTCCTGCTCTCTGTGCTGGAGCTCAGTGAACCCAACCAGCTTCACTGTGCCTCAGCATCCCCAGCTTCTAATGGAGTTGCCCTTGTTCCTGTAGGAACAGGCCTGGCGACAGGACGCTGTGCCAACAGAAGGCACATCCTCTGGTTCGGCCTCTGCCTCTTGCTAGACTAGAACCCGAGTAGGAATGTTGTGTTTCTTATCCTCATAGCTTCTTGAACATATAGCACAGACTGTTCTATTGGAGATGCTCCCCAACGGGTCCCCACTAGGTGTGACCTCAGGGTCACTGTCTGCAAAGTGAGGGTTCATCTACACGAGTGAGAACCTGCTATGTGCAGGAGGAAGCAGCATTTAAAAAGACAGCTTTTGGTTTTTTAAATAATCATGGCTCTCCTGGGGCTGATCTTACAGAGGAGGGACCATTACAGCATTAGATGTTGATTAGATGACTGAATGAGATGGAGTCGGAAACGCATCTCACATCCCTGGCACATCCTGAGTGTTTGGTAAATGTTAACCGCTGTCTCTTCTCTCTGCCTGGCTCCCTCCACCACAGCTCTGCGGCCAAGGACAGCCATGATAGCATGCCTCTGCCTTTACTCCCGTGCCCATGACAGACATTGCTAATTGATGGCAGCAAACTTTTTGAGGCACCTGTGAGCAGAGCATCAGGCAGCTCTCACCGAGCCGCCCTCCCGGAGCTGGCCCTTGCCATCTCCTGCCTTCACCTGCATGTGCTCGGGAGCTGCAGGGCCTGCACAGTCCCAGAAGCGGAGCCCTTGGTCCTGCCCGAAGGGCTCAGGCTCAGGTTCCTGCCCTTGCTCAGGGAACCTGCAGCTGCCCTGTCTGTACCTTGTCCACGTAGCAGCTGCTCCTGCTATGAGCTGGGGCTGGTCCCTGGCTTCGGGCGTTGGCGTTCTGCTTGTGTTGCAAGAATCCCGAGTCCTGTTGCTTCTCTTTGTTCGAGAGAGAAGGGTTGTTTCCAGACTGAGCAGTGATGGCCACAGAGCGCTGTGTGAATGCCAGTCCTCACTTTTAAAGTGGGAGAGCAAGACACGTGGACACACAGTTGCAAGCTTGTGAGATAAGACGGCAGAGGCTGTGGGAACCCAGGGGAGAAGGAACACAGGGTCCCTGGGAACAAGCTGCTTCCCGGACCAGTGCCTCTGCCACCTGCCGTCAGTCCCTCTGCCCTCCCCCTGCAGGGCCTGACCGCAGAGCCCTGCCTCCACACGTGGCTGCTACAGCCAGGGCTGGGCCAGGCCAAGGCCAGGTGCCAGGAGATCTCTACCCGCGTCTTCCATGGGGATGACAAGCACCCCAGCACCTGGCCATTCTCTGTTGCCTCCTCAGGTGCATCAGCAGGGAGCTGGAGCAGAAGCTGAGTGGCTGTGGGTTGCCAGTGCCCCAAGTCGAGGATTAACGCTCTGCCCTGGGATTCTGTGTCTTTGAAAGCTGGATGGGAAGTGGAGCTGTCAGGATTAGAACCGGCACCCAAATGGGATCCTGGTGCATTCAAGACAAGGACCTTAGCTGGTAGGCCACTGTGCCGGGCCCGAGGCCAGGCACTTCCGTGTCCCCTGTGTGTCAACCTGTGTCTCCTATGGACAACCAGAGGGGGACTGGGCCAGCTGGATCCAGGAGCTTCCTCCAGTTCTCCCATGTGGGTGCCAGGGCCCAAGGACTTGGACCATCTTCTGCTGCTTTCCCAGGCTATTAGCAGGGAGCTAGATCAGAAGTGGAGCAGCTGGGACGCAAACCAGCTCCCGTATAGGATGCTGGTCCCACACCACAGGTGGAAGATTAGTCTGTGTGCCACCACACCAGCCCCAGCCAGCTGGCATTTTAACCACTATGCTATCATGCCGGGCCCCCTAAGTTCTTAATGTAGTTTAAAACACATTAAATATCAAATGTTATCAAATATTTTATTTTCTAATAAAAACAGCATGAGTTAAATTGCATTTCTGCTTCCATTTTGCAGTTCTTAGCTCACACAGTGTTTGTTTCTGGCATGCTGTTTATTTTTGTGGCTTCGCTGGGCTAATGGGCAGGAAGCTAAGGTGTTCAAGACCGGCTTTCTGTGAAGATCCAACCTGCTTCCACTCTCCAGCCAGCAGAGGGCGCCCGCAACAATGCAGTGAAGCAAAGATGGCAGGGCACCCTGGGCACCTTCACAGTCCCTGCAGGCATGCTGGGCAAGGGCCACTTGCTTTTGTGGTAGCCTAATTCTTTGAACTAAGTCTGTGGTGAGCCATCCCCTGCTGTCCCCCAGCCCTGGCGGTGCGCTTGGCCTGCCCTTGGGCACT